TGTGTCTCAGCATCTGTTTTAATATCCTGCAGGGTAGAGTCTTTCAAAAGCAGTCTGTGTTAGGCACCTGTCTTCTTCCTTGTTTTCACCTTCTTCTGATGTCTATCCCATTTGCCTTTCTGAAGGAGGATTGAGCATCTTATCAAGGATCCTCCTTCTTGCTTAGCTTCTTCAGGTGCACAGATTTTAGTATGATTATCTTATATTGTATGTCTAGTATCCACTTATGAGTATATAAAATGTGTGTCATTCTGCTTCTGGGATAGCTCACTCAGGATGACCTTTTCTAGTTCCCACCAGTTGCCTGCAAATTTCATAATTTCCTTTTTTTTAATTGCTGAGTAGTATTCCATTGTGTAAATGTACTACAATTTTTGTATCCATTCCTCAATTGAGGGACATCGGGGTTGTTTCCAGATTCTGGATATTACAAAGAAGGCTCCTACAAACAAAGCTGAGCAAATGTCCTTATTGTATACTTAAGCATATTTTGGATATATGCCTAGGAATGGTATAGCTGGATCTTGAGGAAGCATTATTCCCAATTGTCTGTGAAAGCGCCAGATTGTTTTACAAAGTGTTTGCAGAAGTTTACATTTCCACCAGCAGTAGAGGAGGGCTCCCCTTTCTCCACATTTTTTACCTCATTTGTTGTCAGTTGAGTTTTTGATCTTAGCCATTCTGATGGGTGTAAGGTAAAATCTCAGGGTATGTTGATTTGCATTTCCCTGATGACTAAGGATGTTAAGCACTTCTTTAAGTGTTACTCTGGCATTCGATAATCCTCTATTGAGAATTCTCTGTTTATAAAATCCATTTTATAATTGGATTACTTGATTGGTTGCTGTTTAACTTTTTGAGTTCTTTATATATTCTGGATATTAGCCCTCAGTCAGATATAGGGTTAGTGAAATACTTTTCCCAATCTGTAGGATGCCGTTTTGTTATGATGACAGTGCCCTTTGTTTTACAGCAGCTTTTCAGTTTCATGAGGTCCCATTTATTGATTGTTGCTCTTCAATAGCCTGTGCTGTTGGTGTTCTGTTCAGGAAGTTGTCTCCTGTGCCAATTAGGTCAAGGCTCTTCCCCACTTTTTTTTCTACCAATTTAGTGTGTCTGGTTTTAAGTTGAGGTCTTAGATCCACTTGGACTTAATTTTTGTGTATGGTGATAAGTATGGATCTAGCTGCATTTTCTCTATGTAGACATCCAGTTAAACCAACACCAATTATTGAAGATGCTGTCATTTTTTTCCATTGTATGGTTTTGGCATCTTAGTCAAAAATCAGGTGTCCATAAGTGTGTGGGTTTGTTTCTGGTTCTTCTATTCATTTCCATTGATCTACCAACCTGTTTCTATGCCAATACCATGCCATTTTTATTATTGTTGCTCTATAGTACAGCTTGAGATCAGGAATGGAGATACCTCTAGAAGATCTATTATTGTTTAGGATTGTTTTAGTGATTCTGGGTTTCTTGTTATTCCATATGAAGTTGAGAATTTTTCTTTCAAGGTCTGTAAAAAACTGTGTTGGAAATTGATGGGAATGTATTAAATCTATATATTGCTTTTGGTAAGATGGCCTTTCTTACTATGTTACTCATACCAAGACATAACATGTATGTTTTTTAATTTTTAATTTTTAGTTTTTAATATTAGTAACAGTTTAGTAACTTTGTATTTCAGAACATGTTTTTTTAAAGAAGTTGTTTATTTTTATTTTGTGTACATTGCTGTTTTGACAGCATGCATGTCTGTGTGAGGATGTTGGATTCTGGAACAAGAGTTACAGACAGTTGTGAGCTGTCCTGTGAGTGCAATGAATTGAACTCAGGTCCTCTGCAAGAGCATTCAGTGCTCTTAACCACTGAGCCACCTCTCCAGCCTCCTGCCTCCTTTTGTAGTATGAAGCTTCTCCCTGTCAAGCTCCTGTTCTTGGTGGTGTCATGTCTACACAATGTGCCAAGCTGATCCTTCCTGGTTTTCTTCTTAAGATTTACATACTAGAGGCTGGAAAGATGGCTCAGCACTTAAGAGCACTAGCTGCTCTTCCAGAGGATCCAGGTTCACTTCCCAGCAAAAATATGATAGCCCATAACTGTCTGTGACTCCAGTTCCAGGGGATCCAACACTGTCACAGAAATATACACGCAGGCAAAACACCAATGCACATAAAATACAAGGTAATAAATTATATAAAAATTCAAAAACAGATCTATGTAATGTTTAAACTATTTCTTTTTTAAAAACTTTAACCTGGGCATAATGACACATGCCTTTAATCCCAATAGTGGGTGAGGCAAGTACAGGCAGATCTCTGTGACACTGAGCATAGCCTGGTCTACAGAGAAAGTGTGTCTTAAAAAAAAAATAAATAAATAAAAAATAAAGCCAAACAAACAATGTGCACCATGGAGTATTATGTGTGTCTTCTCAAGTTCAGAACTTCACTTCAGAAAACGGGGTTGCAGACATCTGAGAGCTGCCACTTGGAAGCTAGGAAATGGAACTGTCTCAGTCATCTTTCCAGCCCTTTTTCATATTTTTTTTATGGAAAATAGATATATTTTTCATACAGTACATCCTGATTATGGCTTTTTTCTCTACCACCCTCTCTGTGATCTTCCCTACATTCTCTTCCATCCCAATTCACACTCTCTTCTCTTCCCTAAGAAGACAAACAGGTACCTAAAAAATAATAAGAAGCAGGAGGTTGGAGAGATGGCTCAGTTGTTAAGAACACTGTTTGTTCTTCCAGAGGTCCTGGATTCAATTCTCAGCATCCGAATGGAGGCTCACAGCCATAATATGCTCTGATGCCCTCTTCTATCATGCTGATGTACATGCAGAGGAGCATTCATCTACAAAAAATAATTAAATCTTAAAAAAGGGAAGGAGAGGTAGCCAGGTGTGGTGGCACACGCCTTTAATCCCAGCACTCAGGAGTCAGAGTTGAAGATCTCTGTGAGTTTGAGACCAGCCTGAGTCCAGGACAGCCAGGATCTTTGGCTCACATAGTAATTCTCCCAGCAGGAACCCTGAAGCAAGAGGATCCCTGTGAATTGGAATTCCAAATTAACCACACCTACAGAACAATGTTGTAGGAACACAATTCAAAACCAAGGAGAACAAGAGCAAATAGAAGAGTAAATGAATAAACAAGCAAACCATAAAAATTCAAGGTGAGGGAACTAGTCAGTAAATGGACTCATGATTTTCATCCTATTCTGTTTTGGTTGTGTTTGCATTGACACAGAATGCTTGATTCATTCTAGAGAATGAATGGGGTTAAGTGTTTAGACTCAAATATGCAAACAGATGGCAGCTTGTGGTTGGTAGGTGGGGCTGCGAAAAGGAGGAGCTGAGCAGGGTGGTATATAAAGGCTTCAGGGGAGGCAGAGGAGTCATTCCATCAGGGACCTGAAGACTGTGGTGACAGCCTGCCTATGCTGGGATCCAGAGACCCTGTGTTCATCAGTGCTCAGAACAGGTAAGTCACTTTGATCCAAAGGGCCAGGGCCCCTGAAATACAGAGGTTAGGCCCAAATAGGAAAGTCATTTATATATTCATTTGTTTGTTTATTTATTTATTTATTTATTTATTTATTTATTTATTTATTTATGTTTCTAAAGGCTTTTTTATTTGGGATGTATAGAATTTAAAACTAACTTTTAAATTTGTAATGATTTTATTGATTATTGTGGAATTTCACATCATTGAACCCTGAGCATATTTACTTCCAGTCCACCTAGGTCAACCTCCCCACTTGCCACCACCAACAACAACAACAAAAAATTGAGCCTGTGCAGTCAATATACTTACTGGTACATGATCTAACTTTACATGGACAGCCCCTTAAAGACACATCAGTCCTTCCCCACCTGCCCCCAGCCAGGAGCTATCCATTGAGGAGAGCTACATTTCTGCATCCTTACCACAAAGTTGAATAGTTCTCTTTGGCACAAGATTGTTTCTTCCTGTCTCTTCAGATGAACCTACTGAAGAAGATTGGATTTAAGTTCAGGTTTTTTATACAACTTTAATACAGTATGGAGTACCGACCCCATTTCCAGGATCATCTCAGTTTTTCACAGGCAGAGTCTATGTTTTAGAAAATTATGGATTGTTTGTGTGTGTAAACTTCTCAGGCTCTGCTTTTTTGGGACTTGTGACATTGAAAGACTCCCGGTAGAGCCTCTCTAGAGGGGGAGACCCCGCTTCCCAAGGAACAGCGAAACCAGCCTTCGGATGCAAGCCGCAAGAGGTTTATTTCGATACACGGGTACCCGGGGCGACAAAGCCTTTCGGAAGACTTGCGCGCCTCTCGGTTGGGGTGACCGGTTTTTATAGGGCTCGGGAGCAAGAAGCACGGTTACAGAAGCGAGAAGCATAGTTACAGGGATCTGATTGGGCGGTTTGAACAAAGCCATAGTTAGGTCACATATTCAAAACAGAGAAGGCGGGAAGACAGACGTGAACTGAGTCACGTAGCCGGAACAGAGAAGGCGGGAAGGCAGATGTTTCAGGCGCCCAACCACAGATATCCTGCTGTTGGGCATCTGTCCCGCCTTGCCTCTGACCCTGCACTGCTCCAGTCTTGCAAAATAGTGTTGCCAGCATTATGCTAGGGCTTTATTCTTTCAACATGATCTATGTCTGGTTGGCACACAAAGATGGTATTCAGCTTTCAGACTCTGGGGTCCCCTGCCGAGTGGAGATGGGACGACTTAGGATATTGGTTAGGGTTGGAAGGAACACTGGGGAATGTGCAACCTTGGATGTACTTGAAAGAAGCTCCTCTTGCTGTCAGTGAAGGAGTTTGGTTTGAGACCTCCACTGAGGTCAATGGATTAAACTGATATCTCCACCAAGGACAGAGCAGTAACTCTGACCTTGGGTGGTTCCTGTGATGGTGAGGGGGTTTTCTAAACTTGATGCTGACAATGTATTCTTCCCTAAATGCCTCCTCAGGATCCTTCTGACTGAAGACCTTCCAGGATGAGTGTTCACACTCCACCCACACTCCTGAAACTGGCAAGGCAGGCTCTGCTGAGAGATGAGACTTTGGACATGTCGACTCTGGACAAACTGCCCATGGAGCTCTTGCCAGCACTGTTCATGGAAGCCTTCACTGGCAAACACGCTACTACTGTGAAGGCAATGGTGGCAGCCTAGCCTTTCCCCTGTCTCCCTGTAGGGGCATTGATGAAGACTCCTGACTTGGAAACCTTCAAGGCAGTTCTAGCAGGAGTAAACACATGGCTGCAAAGAAAGTTTCACTCCAGGTAAGCAATAAGCCAGTACTGTAGAATGGAGTCCATGGATAAGAGGGAAGAGATTGTGGGAGAATGACTTCTTCATTATACTTCCGATGGATCATCAGATAGGGATGCAGGGCCCTTGGAAGCTGCTCTTTGCTTGTCTTAAGGAAGGTTGACTGTGGTGATCAGAGCTTGGAGTAGATGTACCCACATAGTGAAATAAGCCTTCACTGCAGTCCCACAATCACAAGTAATGGGTCTATGGAGAAATAGAGTCACTTAGAAGAAGTAAAGTGGTAAGGACTACCTGTGCAGCTTACAGAAAGCTTCTGCAGGCTGCACACTGGATGTTAAAAAAAAAATAACACCTCATACCTCATCAGGAGTTAGAGCTGAGTTTGGAGATGTGGAGGAAATGCTGAGTCAGTGTGAGGTCTCGTCATGTAGCTGACACTTCACATGTTTTCTTCACAGGAGGGGAAATCTTCAATTTCTTGACCTGAGGAAGAAGCACCATGAATTCTGGAGCATATGGGCTAGGGCAGAGAATGGTGACTGCTCAGCAGAGACCCCAGATGAGCAGCAAGCAGTGAAGGTCCTTCCCAGATATGCACTGAGGCAGTGCCTGAAGGTGGTTGCTGATTATTTGCCTCAAGCAGGACGTAGATGAAGAATAAACATGCTTCTTCTTGCAGTGGGCCCAACAGAGAAAGAGTTCCATCCAGTTCTGCTGTATGAAGATGACCATCTGGTCTCTGCCTTTCCATTTTGTCAAAAAGATCTTGAATATTTTTCATCCAGAGCAGATCCAGGAATTTGAACTGAACACAGAGTGGAATGTGTTAATGCCGGCAGACTTTGCTCCCTACCTAGGCCAGATGAGAAATCTTCACAAACTCTTACTGGCACCCATTTACAAGAGTATCATCATGCTTAGCAACAGGAACACAGACAGGGAAGAGAAGTATATCAACAAAATCATTTCTCAGTTTTCCAATTTCAACTGTCTCCAGCACCTCTCCTTAAAGAGCATCTACTTTCTCAAAGACCACTTCAATGAGGTCCTCAGGTAAGCAAGAATGGAGAGCTAGGTTAGGTATCATAGCAGACCTTTCTGCTTAGTTTTAAGGATTAGTCATTCATGAGTCCTGCACAACAGTGTGATCAAACATTTAGGCCTCATTAGAATATGAAAGTTATGTCTTGTTTCCATGTATAACGAATCATGTTGTCAAATGCACTCTAATGAGTTACAGAACCGAAGGTCCGACCTAGTAAGGATGGGTTGTAATTCTTCTCTGAATCATGCCCACACAATCCAATGGAAAGGGAACAGGAAGGAGAGAGTGCAGTTAGGAATTGGTGGAATCACAAGCACAGTGTTGAGGGGAGCTCTGTACTCAGGTCTGTGAAAACAGCCTCAGTCTCCCCCAAATTTCCCATGGGTGACAGGTTTTGAGCTTAAGTAGAGCTTAGTGCATGGGACAATGGGGATAGTGAGGATGTTAAATTACTGCAAGTGTGACTGTGCAGAGGCATTGATGGGATCCAGAGTGCAGTGAGCACACAGGAAGTGTCCCTAGAACCTGTCAGGACTTTCATGGTTTGGAACTCCTTATGTGTGCTTCCAGGGCTAATGGGCTGAACTGGTTTTCTGCTTGAGAGTGAGGCCAGGAGATGAAGTGTGGTTTTTTCTTGACAGTGGAGATTCTTGCAGGAAGCATCTAAAATAATGCTCTTGAAACAGACCTTGGGTCATTGGGCTGCTTCTTCTTCTGTAAATGCCACCCCATACTCTCCAACACCATTTTCCTGAACTAACCTCCTGGTCTATTCTTAGGTGCCTGATGACCCCATTGGAGACCCTGTCCATCACTTACTATTTCATTTCACAGTCAAACCTGAATTACTTCTCTGAGTGTCCAAAGCTCTTTCAGCTGAAACATATGGACATGAAAGGTGTGGTTTTAGAGGCTTTGGATCTTATGCCTCTCCGAGTCCTCCTAGAGAATATGGCAGACACTTTGCAGTCCCTGGACATGAAGTGTTGTAGGATGAAGGACTCTCAGCTCACTGTGCTCATACCTGCCCTCAGCAAGTGCTCCCAGCTGGCCAAGGTCAGTTTCTATTGCAATGACTTCTCCATGTCCATCCTGATGGACTTTCTGCAGCACATAGCCAACTTGAGCAAGATAAACGTGGAACAGTACCCTGCCCCGCTTGAGTGCTATGATGAGTTTGGTTATGTCTCCTTAGAGAGATTTACACAACTTTGTACTGATCAAATAGATAGACTCAGGGCCATAAGGCAGCCCAAGTACATCTCCTTTGCTACACATCCGTGGCCTAGATGTGGAGAGTGTTGTGTCTATGGCAAGGGATTCCAACTGTGTCTTTGCCAGCAGAGGCAGCAGTGAATAGGGAAACATGACTTCTGCATTTGAAGAAATGGATGGCTTGAGACACATCTCTCCTTTTGGGTGCTCAGAGCTTGTGACTTCAGACTCTGCTCAAATTTTTAGAATCCAAATGATGTTTGGTACATTGGATCTAGGATTCTGAATGTGACATGGAGAATATTGGGATTGTGGGAACAGGGGTGTTATGGAATCTGAATGATGTTTTTGCCTTTATAAGTGGCTTCTGTCAGGACAGAATAGCCAGTGTCTTTGTTCTGCAGCTGTAAACCTGGCTGTTCTACCTCTGGGCTCTTTGTTTCAGTTATCACCCTCATTGCCGGGGTCTGGAGGGTTTCTTGACACAATGAATGGGAAAACACTGGTATCTAATGAGTGAGGCAAAGGTCCAGCTCAAATTGGCATCCAAAAAATGACAGTTCTGGTGTCACTTCTTTCATTCTTTTCTTTTGCTTTCCTTGTCAGTTGCAATAATTACAACTATCTTGGTTGCTGTTCTGTTATAATACGTTGAAACTAAAGTGAGCATATTCACATAGCTCCTGTGAATATGAAGGGGGTTTTAATGGATCAGACCATTAACATCTAGTACACTCAGGCTACAAGGCACCATGGACCCATGAGAGGTGACTGAAGGAAAGGAGAAGACAACACAGGGAGAAGTGAACAGGCTTCTCAATGGTTATTTTCCTTTCAGTCTTTAAATCTTGTTTTCTTTTTAGTTGAAAGCCTCATGTACCCTGGGCTAGCCTTACACCCTTGATATTTTTGTCTTGATGACAAAATCCAACATATCCAGCCTGCATGCCACATGCCCATAGGGCCGTATTCCTGTGGACTCCCGAACTATGAAGTAGCCATAGTGTGTATAAAGGTGCGCAATACTACATAAGTCCTTGTGCTCCTGAAAACCTTATATTTACTAAAGACCTGTATTTCATGCCTTCAGTTGTTGTCTCTGTATTAATGTAAGAAGTTCCACCCATTATATGCCTTTTTTCTGTTTAGTAAGATATCAATAAAATGACTTATTTCTGAATTGTTTTCTTCTTCATTGAAATATTTATTGCATCTTGGGGAAACTCCATTTTAGAGAACACAATTTCCATTTGTAATAGCTTTTCACTAGCCTCTGGGTTAGGGATAGGAGCTTGTGTCCACTCCTCTCCACACTGACAGCCCCCATGTAGATTTGTGCATGCTTCCTCATTCTCTCTGAGTGCATATGTGTATTTTTCTGCTGGATTTAAGAAGGCCTGGGTTTTCTTCATATCCTCCATTCCATCTGGCTCTAAAAGTTATTCTTCTCTTGCACACAGTTCGTTCCCTGATCCCTGAGGAGAGGATTTGACAGAGATGTCCCATATCCAGGAAAGGTCAGAAGATTCCCTTGCACTCAATTTACAGGACATTTCAAGACACTACCATACTTGCTGGGCACTAAACCTGGGCATTCTGTAGTAGCAACAATCTCTACAAACCACTGAGCATCTCTCCATGGCCAGTGATCCTTCCTTTCTGAAATCTAACCCAACTTCCTGAGAACCACCATTGGCATCTCCTACCCTCAAACAGTTGTATATAAAATGTGAGAAAGTGTAGTGCAATCCAGGCTGTCTCAAAGTTCCTACTATATCCAGAGATGACATTGAACTTCTGAGCCCTCTTCTACTCAAACTCTCACATTCTGGGAAGACAGGCATGTCCCCAAAAATCTAGATCATGTCTAGATGTCACCTATGATTTTGTGAATGTCAAGCAAGGACTATACTACCTGAGTTCCAGCCACAGAAATCCCTTCCAAATATTATTATATCCTGCTTAAACTCTATGTCCCCTCTGTAGGGACCCATTTTCCACTTTTGGCATAACTGTGGTTCTTCTGTTAACACTTGTCACCTTTAGCATATCAGAAGCTATTGTCTTTTTCAGAAAAAAAGAGACCTTAGGTCCCAATCCCACTGAATAGGCTGAAATGCTAAGTCAAAAGGGGCTCCGTGTCATTAGCTATTGTCTTGGGGACCTGCTTAGCTGGAGTAGGAACTGGTATTGCAGCACTGGGTGTACAAAGCCAGAAATATAACAGCTTAAAGCAGATATTGATAAAGATATTCAGTGCCTTGAAAACTCAATCATCCTTTTAGAAACCTTTTAGAAACAAATGTTGATTCTCTGGTAGAAGTAGTTTTGCAAAAGAGAAGAGGCTTGGATCTGTTGTTTTACAAAAGGACTGGCTATGTGCAGCCCTTAGAGAGAAATATTGTTTTTATGTAACCAGTCAGGAATGATTAGGAAATCCTTAGCAAGAATAACAAAAAGTCTGGAGAGACACTGGCAAGAGAGAATTTCAGAGGAAGGTTTAAACCCTGCTTTAATAGTTTTCCTTGGTTTAATACCTCTATAACCACCCTGATGGGATCCCTCCTCATCCTACTCATTTTGATTTTTACCTTTGGCCTTGTCTTTTAATTCGCTAGGTGGCTTTCACGAAGGAATGTTAATGGTACTCAGATCCCATTGTGGATAGGTAAATCTGAAGGATACCAGGGGTCATATCTGGAAGACCCAAGATTGTGTCTTCAAATGATCATGGGAAGGGGGGATGAGAGGATGTTGTGGTTATTAATACTTACTATTGATATATATTTTAGTAAGCTGCAGTTATTCCTAAACCTGCTGTATACCCAAATCATCACACAGAGACTGGGATTTATTTAATTAACCTAGAGAACAATGCTGGGAAATAGTTACTCCATCTTAAACCTCCACAAAGATGGTACTCAGCTTTCAGACTGCTGGGGACCCCTGCCCAGTGCGGATGGGATTGACTGGGACTTTGGTTAGGGTTGGATGGTACACTGAGGAATGTGTAACCTTGGGTGTACTTGTAAGAGGCTCCTTGCGCTGTCAGTGAGGGAGTTTGCTTTGAGACCTCCAGTGGCTTAAGCTGATGTCTTCACCAAGGACAGAGCAGTAACTCTGACCTTTAGTGGTTCCGGGGTGATGGTGAGGGGGTTTTGAAAACTTCATGTTGACAATGTATTCTCCCCTAAATGCTTCCCCAGGATCCTTCTGACTGAAGACCTTCCAGGATGAGTGCTCAGACTCCACCCACACTCCTGAAGCCAGCAAGGCAGGGTCTTCTGAGACATGAGACCCTATGTCTCTCTGTCAGCTGTGAATAAACTGCCCATGGAGCTCATCCCAATACTATTCACGGAGGCCTTGACTGGCAGACATGCAATGATTGTGAGAACAATTGTGGCAATTGTCTCCTGGTGGAAGGGGGTGCTTTATGACAACTCCTGACTTGGAAACCTTTCACACTGCTAGCAGGAATAGACATTCGGCTGCAAAGAAACTTTCACTCCAGGCAAGCAATAAGCAAGTAGTGTGGAATAGAGCCCATGGGTAAGAGGGAAGAGATTGTGGGGTCAGGGAGAAGGGCTTCCTCATGAGTGGATCAGAGGCTCATGATGGATCATCAGGCAGAGATTCAGGGGTCTTGGGAGCTACTCTTTGCTTGTCCTAAGGACGGTTGACAATGGTCAGAGTTTGGAGTAGTTGTAGCCACACAGTGAAATGAGACTTCCCTGGCATTCCCACAACCACTATTACTGGGACTAAGGAGAAATAGTGCCACTTAGAGAGAAAAATGTTCAGGGCAACATGTGCAGCTCAAGGAAAGCTTCTTCAGGCTGGACACTCGATGCTGAAAAAACACATACCTTGGCAAGTGTTAGAGCTGACTTTAGAGGTGTGGAAGAAAAGGTGAGTCAGTGTTGGATCTTGCCATGTAGCTGACCATGTTTTCCCCACAGGAGGGGAAAACTTCAGGTTTTTGACCTGAGGAAGAAGAACCATGAATTCTGGAGCATATAGGCTGGTGCAGAGGATGGTGGTTGCTCAGCAGAGACCCTGATGAGCATCAAGTAGTGAAAGTCCTTCCCAGATATGAACTGAGGCAGTGCCTGAAGGTGGTAGCTGACCTTTGGCTCAAATTTTGTTTAAATGAAAAACAAGTATGCTTGTGGGCCCAGCAGCAAAAGAGCTTCCTCCAGTTCTGCTATACAGAGATGAAGATCTTGGCTCTGCCTCTCCATGTTACCCAAGAGGTCTTGAATATTTTGCATCCTGAGCACACCGAGGATTTGGAACTGATCATGCTCAGTTAGGGTGTATTAAAGTTGTCCCAACTTGCTCCCTGCCTGGGCCAGATGAGAAATTTTCACAAACTCTTCCTGGCACACATCTACAAGAATGTAGAGTTGTTTTGATTTGCATTTCCCTGATTACTAAAGATGTTGACCATTCTTTAAGTGTTTCTCCACCATTCAATATTTCTGTTGAGAATTCTCTATTTAGCTCTGTACACCATTTTTAATTGTCATTTGGTTTCTTGGTGCTTAACTATTTAAGTTCTTTATGTATTCTAGATATTAGCTCTCTGTGAGGTGTAGGGATGGTGAAGGTCATTTCCCAGTCTGTAGTCTGCCATTTTGGTCTTTTGACAGTGTTATTTGCATTACAGAACTTTTCAGAGTCATGAGATCCCATTTTTTGATTGTTGATCTTATAACCTGAGCTATTGGTATTCTGTTCAGGAAGTTATCTCTTTTGTCAAAGAATTCAAAGATCTTCCCCAATTTATCTTCTAATAGATTTAATGTGTCTGGTTCTTTCTTGAGATCTTTGAACAACTTGGATTTGAGTTTTGTGCAGGTGATAAATATGGATCTATTTACATTTTTCTACATGTAGATACCCAGTTAGAACAGCAACACTTGTAGAATATGCTGTCTTTTTTCTGTTGTATGTTTTTTCTTCTTTGTCAAAACCAACTGTCTGTAGGTGGTTGGATCAATTTCTGGGTCTCTATTCAATTCCATTGATCCACCAGTCTGGTTCTATGCCAGTACCATGCAGTTTTTATCACTGTTGCTCTTAATAACAGCTTGAGATCAGGGGTAGTGCTACCTCCAGACAATCTTTTTTCTTTAATTTTATTTTCTTTTATTAATTATACTTTATTCACTTTGTATTCCCCCATAAGCCCCCCTCCTCCCCTCATGATTTCACCCCTCCTCCCCCTTCTTCATGCACGCCACTCCCCAAATCCAGAGATAGCGGAGGTCCTCCTCTCCTTCTTTCTGATCTTAGTCTATCAGATCACATCAGGAGAGGCTGCATTGTCATCTTCTGTGGCCTGGTAAGGCTGCTCTCCCTTCAGGGGGAGGTGATCAAAGAGCAGGCCAATCAGATTATGTCAGAGGCAGTCCCTCTTCCCATTACTATGAAACCCACTTGGACACTAAACTGCCATGGTCTACATCTGTGCAGGGGTTCTAGGTTATCTCCATGCCTGGTACTTGGTTGGAGTAGAAAAATGCAAATATATCCATACACAAAACTATCGCCCTGCACAAAACTAAAGTCCAGGTGGATCAAAGACCTCAACATAAAACCAGACACATTAAATTTGTTAGAAGAAAAAGTGGGGAAAACCTAGAACTCATTGGCACAGGAGACAACTTCCTGAACAGAATACCAACAGCACAGGCTCTAAGAGCAACAATTAATAAATGGGACCTCATGAAAATGAAAAGCTTCTGTAAAGCAAAGGACACTGTCATCAAAACAAAACGACTGCCTACAGATTAGGAAAAAATCTTCACCAACCCTTTATCTGACAGAGGGCTAATATCCAGTATATATAAAAAACTGAAGAAGCTGAAAAGCAGCAAACCAAGTAATCCAATTAAAAAACGGGGAACAGAGCTAAACAGAGAACTCTCTGTAGAGGAATATCGAATGGCAGAGAAACACTTAAAGAAATGCTCAACATCATTAGCCATCAGGGAAATGCAAATCAAAACAACCCTGAGATTTCACCTTACACCCATCAGAATGGCCAAGATGAAAAACTCAAGTGACAACACATGCTGGAGAGGTTGTGGAGAAAGGGGAACCCTTCTCTACTGCTAGTGGGAATGTAAACTGGTACAACCACTCTGGAAATCAATCTGGCATTTTTTCAGACAACTAGGAATAGCGCTTCCTCAAGATCCAGCCATACCACTTCTAAGCGTATATCCAAAAGAGGCTCAAGTAAACAATGTGGACATTTGTTCAGTTATGTTTGTAGCAGCTTTATTTGTAATAGCCAGAAGCTGGAAACAGCCCAGATGCCCCTCAACTGAAGAATGGATGCAGAAATTGTGGTACATCTACACAATGGAGTATTACTCAGCAATGAAAAAAAAAGAAATCATGAAATTTGCAGGTAAATGGTGGGACCTGGAAAGAATCATCCTGAGTGAGCTGTCCCAGAAGCAGAAAGACACACACGGCATATACTCACTCATATAGACATATAACATAGGATAAACCTACTAAAATATCTACATCTAAAGAAACTAATCAAGAGTGAGTACCCTAACTAAAATGCTCAATCCCCATCCCAAAAGGTAAAGAGGATGGACATCAGCAGAAGAAGAAAACAGAAAACAACCTAGGAACCTGCCACAGAGGGCCTCTGAAAGGCTCTGCCCTGCAGACTATCAAAGCAGACGCTGAGACTTATGGCCAACTGTTGGGCAGAGTGCATGGAATCTTATGTAAGAAATGAGAAATAGTAAGATCTGGAGAGGACAGGAACTCCACAAGGAGAGCAACAGAACCAGAAAATTTGAACACAGACAATCTTTTATTGTACAGGATTATTTTAGCTATTCTGGGTTTTTTGTTTTGTTGAGAATTATTCTTTCAAGGTTTGTAAAGTATTGTGTTCATATTTTAATAGGAATTGCATTAAATCTATTCGCAGATGATAGTACACATGAGTGACCCTAAAAATCTACTAGGGAAAACCTATAGCTGATAAACACCATCAGCAAAGTGGCTAGATACAAAATTAACATTAAAAAAATCAATAGCCACCCTTTATACAAAAGGCAAACAGGTTAAGAAAGAAATTAGTAAAACAACACCCTTCACAATAGCCACAAACAAAACAGAGACACCCAGTGTCTTGGTATAACTCTAATGAAGCAAGTGTAAGAGTTGTATGAAAAAATTTCAAGTCTGAAGAAGGAAACTGAAGAAGATATCAGAAGATTGAAAGATCTCCCATGCTCATGGTATGGAATTTCTTATGTGTGCTTTCTAGCATATGGGCTGAACTGGTTTTCTGCCTGAGAGTGAGGCCAGGAGATGAAGTTTCAGTTTGTCTTGACTGAGAAGACTGCCACAGGAAGCATCTTAGAGAATGTCCTTGCTATTTGGTCAAACTGACCTTGGGGCACCCAGTTCCTTTTACCTCTGTGTAAATGCCACCCCGAATTCCTCAACACCATTTTCTTGAACTAATCTCCTGGTCTGTATCCCTAGGTGCCTGATGACCCCCCTGGAGACCCTGTCCATCACTTACTGCAACTTTTCACAGTCAGATCTGAATTACTTCTCTGGGTGCCCGAAGCTCTTTCAACTGAAATATCTGGACATGAAAGCTGTGGTTTTAGAGGCTTTGGACTTTATGCCTCTCCAAGTCCTTCTAGAGAATGTGGCAGACACTTTGCAGTCCCTGGACTTGAAGGCTTGTAGGATGAAGGACTCTAATCTCACTGTGCTCATACCTGCCCTCAGCAAGTGCTCCCAGCTGGCCAATGTCAGTTTCTATGACAATGACTTCTCCATGCACATCCTGAGGGACTTTTTTCAGCACACAGCCAACTTGAGGAAGATGAATGTTGAACAGTACCCTGCCCCTCTCGAGTGCTATGATGAGTTCGGAGTGCTATGATGAGTGCTATGATGAGTGCTATGATGAGTTATCTCCACAGAGAGATTTGAACAATTCTGTGCTGAGCAAATAAATAGACTCTGGGCCATAAGACAGCCCAAGTACATCTTCTTTGCTACACAGATGTGTCCTAGATGTAGAGAGAGCTCTGTCTATGGCCTGGGATTCAGACTGTGTCATTGCCAGCCATGGTGGCAGTGAACAGGGAAACATGCCTGAGGACACAGAGCTTATGGCTTCAGACATTGTTCATATTGCTGAAAACAAAATGAAGTTTAGTGAGTTGCATTTAGGAGGCTGAAGTTGACATGGAGAACAATGCAATTGTGGGAGCAGAGGATCTTGTGGAGTGAGAAAGACCACTTCACATTTTTAAGTGGCTTCTGTCGGGACAGGATAACCAGTAGCTTTGTCCTGCAGGTGTAAACTTGGATGTTCTCCCCCTGGGGTCTTTCTCAGTTATCACCCTCACTGCCAGGTTCAGGGTCAGGAGGGGTAAGTGACTCCACGACCCCAGTGGAAAAACACTACTATCTAATGAGTGATTCAAAGGTCCAGGTCATCCATAAAACTAAAGTTTCGGTGAAACTTCATTCCTGTCTTTTGCCTGTGCGTAGGTTACAACCCTTTTGTGTAGCTGTTCAAAAATTTGAAACTAAAGTGAGCAACATAGCACACATCGTATGAATAAGGTTTTTATGGGTCACAGATAATTAACACCCAGTACACTCAGACCACAAGACACCATGGGCCCATGAGAGGTGACTGGAGGGAAGAAGAAGACAACACAGGGGAAACAGGGTGGACAGGGTTTACATTTTTTTTCCTCTTAAAAATCATGTTTCCTGCCATGCATGGTGGTACACACTTGCAATCCCAGTACTCAGGGACACATAGACAGGCAGATCCCTGAGTTTAAAGACAAACTGATCTATAAAGTAAGCCCAGGACAGCCACAGTTAACAAGAGAAACCCTGTTTCAGAAAAAAAGTTTTTATTTTTATTTAGTAGAATAAATAAAAATGTACTGTAGCCCGGCAGTGAACTCTTGATCTTTTTGTCTGGGTGAGACTACCACCATAAACCACTCTATCCAGCCTGCATGCCACATTCCTTTGGATTCACAAATTCTTTGAAACAGCCATATAAAGCTTTCCAGTAATATGTAAATCCCTCTTCTGCAGAAAACATTTACTTTACAAAATAACTATATTTTACATCTTCAGTTGTTCCTATATTAATGTATTTAAGAAAACAAATCTCCCTAGACCTAGCAATTCTATGCTCCCTTTGCTCTATAGTAAGATAGCCAAATGATTTATTATTGTTTTGTTCTTCATTGGAATATTTATTGAACACATAGAACATGGTTTCTTTGTTTAACTGTCATTGTTGTTGTCTAGATTACATAAATTATCTAAATTTGAGGACTCCTCAACAGGTGCTCTCTGGACAGAAGTAAACATGAACAGATTGATGACAGTGTTGCCAACTTTCCAAATACTGCTGTAGGTGGATAAATTTTTCCACCAGAGTGGCCACATAGAGACATCTAGGCCAGCCTAGAGTACAGAGTAAGGCACTGTCTTAAAAAACAATATAAAACCCATAGACTGAGAGCAATGATTCATAGCTCAAGAGCAATGGCTGCTTTTTCAGAGGACTAAACTTTGCTTTCAGTACTCATATCAGGTCGTTCTCAACTGGAACTCAGGCTTCATGTCATTGGCCCTTTTATTTTGGCCTGTGTGTGTCCCTCCTTTCTCATGTACAAATCTACACAATACATATTCATAGACACCTAATTTTTAAAATTCTTGAGATAAAAATCCTGTTTCACAAGAAAATGAAAAAGGAACTAATTAACTAAAGCAGAGATGTTGTTCAGGACCAGGTTGATTGCCTCACTCATATGTCTCTGACATTAATTCTGGCACTGCACAGCGAAGAGAGTATGTGGACTTTTCAAGTGTGTGGGGTGAGCAATAGCCTACTTTGCCCTTGGCTCCAGGGTCTGCCAAGGATGAAGTGAAAGGATATCATTGGCATGTCAGTGTAGACAATTTAGTTTTGTATGTATTTTATGTATGTGAGTGCTCTATTTGAATACATGCCTGCTTGACTGAAGAGGGCATCAGATCCCATTATGATGATTCTGAGCCAGGATGCTCTTACTTCTCTTAAGGCTGAGTCATTTCTCCAGCCACAAGATCTTCAACATAGAAAGCATGTGTGGATACAGAATCACAATTAGGTGTCTATTTTCCAAAAATTCTTACCCATTTGATATCATCTTTAAAGCTTTAGGTTTCAAGTGTATTGTGTATTGTGTGTGTGCTCTGTTTCTTTTTCCTTTCAGATAGTGACTGCGTTGATTTGACAAAGCAATAACAATATCCCAAGTCCCTCCCAAACAGGTCTGGATATACTTCACCTGATAGAGTGCTTACCTATCCATTACTTGAATCTGTGAACCCCATTAAACAGGCTATAAAAATACATGGATGTTATGCCCCCTGCCTACGTTGCCTGTAGAGATGACAGAGCAGAAATTCAGTACCATCCTAGCTACTTAGTCTGAAACCCTACTTTGAAAATTCAAGAAACTTCCTCTTGATGTGGAGCCAGAGTTCCTCAGAACTTTCATTCTACTCTCTCTTGACATCATCTTATTCCTGCTCAGTGATGGAGTAAAAGCTGTAAAACAGGAAAGAAATGAATAAAAATTGAAGAAAAATGAACATTTACATTTTTAGAATTGTAAAGACTGGGAGTTTTAAAAGCTGCAATGCTGTATATTGTGAAGCTCTTTTTAAATATTAATATGAGTTCTAGGGGATAAACAAGAAAGAAAAGTTATGGTTTAACAGTAAATGTTTGTGGACTTGACAGGGGGTCAGTTGTGCTAGGTAGTTTTGTTTCAACTTAACACAGGCTAGGCTCATTTGAGGAGAGGGAAACTCAATTAAGAATATGCCCTACACCACTGTCCTGTGTGCAAGCCTGTGGTGCATTTCCTTAATTGGTGGTTGATATGGGAGGGCCCAGGCCATTGAGTGTGGGGGGGCTACCCATGAGCTAGCTGGTGGTCCTGGATGCCATCAGAAAACAGGCTGAGGATGTATTGAGGAGCAAGCCAGCAATCAACATTCCTTTAAAACTTTTCTATCACTGTAGGCTTCCAGGTCCCTATTCTTAGCTCCTACTTTGACTTCCTCCAGTGGACTTAAAAGCTGTGAGGTAAAACAAACCAGCTCCTCTCCAGTTACTCTTCTGGGTAGTGGCATTTGTCACATCAGTAGAAATTTGAGTTACATGAAGTTATTATGGTGAGACTTTCTGCTGATTTGACTATGTGCAAGTTTAAGCCCAATACACTCAGGGATTCAGCAAGCCTGATGAGACTAGAATCATTGCTTTGGTGTCTTGTTGGCACTCAACCTGGGGTGGAAGAAATTTTATTTATGTCTTCCAAAAAAAAAATATTCACTGAACAAGATTCTAGGAAACATTTCATACCCTTAGAGTCACAAGTGTTGACTGCAGATCAACAAAGGTTAGGCTAGGCAACTCTTCTCCTTCAGGCAATGCCTGAGGGAGACTCAATTCAAATTCGATCATTTCCTGTCAGCATTGGAGAAACTCATCCACATAGCAATTAAAAGACTGGATGCATGTTGTTAAAAACAACACTGCTCTGGATGTAATCAAGGGAGAACAGCTTCAGTAGATAAAACAAACAAACAAAAAAGCCCAAGATATGTCCTGAAGAAAGAGTTGACCAGACAGCCTGGTCATTTGGTTCAAACCAACAGTGCAAAGAAAAGTTTTCTTCTTAAATAAAAAGGATAGTTTTATGGTTTGGTATTAAAAATACAGTTAGGAGACTTAAAATGTTTGAAGTGATTTCAAAGGGTTACTACAATTCAAACTTGTTTTCTAAATCTCTAAGTGTTAGAGTAATTTGGAGCTAAGATAAAAGGCAGTTCAGTGTCCCAGTGGGTTCCATAATAATGGGAACAGGGACTGCTTCTGACTTGAACTGATTGGCCTGTTCTTTGATCACCTCCCCCTGGGGGGAGAGCAGCCTTACCAGGCCACAGAGGAACACAATGCAACCACTCCTGTAGAGACCTAACAGACTAGGATCAGGAGGAAGAAAAAGAAATCCTCCCCTACCAGTGGACTTGGGGAGGGGCATGCATGGAGAAGGGAAAAGAAGAGAGGGATTGGGAGGGGAGGAAGGAGGGAACTAGAGAGGAGATACAAAGTAAATAAAGTGTAATTAAAAATAAAATAAAAGAAAAATTAAAAAGAAAAGAAAAAAAAACCTAAAACATTTGAGCAGGAAGGTAGTAGCCCATGCCTTTAATTCCAGCAGAGACTGGCAATCTCTATAACTTAGTTGTTTTCTAAATTCTAAAGTTACAACAAACATGGTGATTTTACTTCACACCTTTAATCCCAGCACTTGGGGGGCCTATGCCTTTAATCCAAACACTCAGGAGATGAAGCATGCAGATCTCTGAGTTCAAGGCCAGCCTGATACAGAGCAAGTTCCAAGCAGAGAAGAATTTAGGTCCAGGTGTGGTGGTTCACACCTTTAATCCAGCCCTTGGGAGGCACACAACATGCCTTTGATACTTGCTTGAGAGGTAGAGGCAGGCATGTAAGAATTACAATGATTAAACTTAAAAGCCACTTGCAAAAGGCAGACTGAAATTCAAAGAGTCTTTATTCAAGCTTGAGCACAGGCAGGCAATCATTCCTGACTCAGGTTTTCAGAAAGAGTGTCCATGAGCCTCAGGAGGGCAGAGTTTTAAAAGGGAAAAACCACAAATAGGGAACTCCAAGCCTTGGCATTACAAGATTGAGTGAGTGTTTAGCCAACGAGGTGACCTTTAAGCTGATTGGTTAGGGCCAGTTGGCCAAACTGCAAGGGGCAAACAGGATACCTAAAGAAAACTTTTTGGCCAGGGCGAGTGTGTGTATTTTTATTT